CTGCGGCGTGGACAAGGGGAAAGGGTCAGCGGGAAGCAAAACGTTTGCACAAAAGGAAAAGAAATAATCGCATGTGGGTGTGTTCGCGCGCGCACACGCATACAAACACACACACACATACCGAGAATTTTGATGAGATGATACTATTTTTTCTAGATACCGAATATATGCCGATACCGAAGCTGATTCCACCAAAAAGGCTCAATTACAATACTATTTTTCAAATGAAAACTGGATACTTGTTTCAGTGAAGTTTCGTAATTCAGTTTAGAAACATGCGCGATCCGATTCATTATTCCAGCACTGGTTTCTTGACAGGCTCTGGCGATCTCCGGTTTTGTTCTTTCTTATTGCAGTGTCACTCAGAATGCCTTAGATTGAACTTGTGTAATACCTCGACGGGCTACGCAAAATAACTTTATTCTATACTTCTAGTGGATAAAATATATTTTTAGAACACATACACACACACACACATATATATGTGTGTGTGTGTACATACATACATTATATATATATATATATATATATATATATATATATATATATATATATATATACACACAACTGATTACGACACTTTAATTAATTCTTTGGAAACGCACAAGCGAAAGTCAACCACCAAGTCAGCCGCCCGAACGCAGGCTCCTCCCGGCGCCGCCCGCAGACCGCGCGCGAATCACCCGCTGACTCCAGACGCCTTGGAAGAACACTTGCTAACGTTAAATATTACACATGTCGATTCCAACCGTGAATTTTCCCGGTGCACTTGCCCCCCCCCCCACTTGCAGCATGTGTCTGGGGAGATAACTAGGTTAGTCACAAAGCAAGAGCCCAGGAAATGCATAAGGTTTTCTTTTCCAACTTACCGGACCCCGCTGTTAGGCGAGACCGGTCCGTGGAATCACTGGTTGCAAGGATAAGGCTTTGCGTGGAAGTAAAAGAGATAGAAAAAAGGGAAAAAAATGTATGATGAAGAGGAGGAACAAAGAGAGGAAGAAATAGAGCAAGAATAGGAGGAAGAGAAACGAAAAGATGAAGAAAACCGCTTTTCTGATTATAAATTACTAAAGACAAGAAGTAAAATTGGAGGCATTTGGCAGCCGAGAACGTAATACCAAACATGACAGAGAAAATCGTGAGGTCGGAGCATAAACAGTGATATACTGTGATCTCGATGCAAGGTATACAAGTGGGCTGGATATAACTAGATATGAGCCATGTATGGATATTCAAACATATGCATAAATACACATACATTGTTCTTTCTTTGTCTATATTCACATATATATATATATATATATATATATATATATATATATATATATATATATATATAAATAAATAAATAAATGAATATATATATATATATATATATATATATATATATATATATATATATACATACACACACACACACACAAACATATATATATATATATATATATATATATATATATATATATATATATATATATATATATATAATAATATATAAAAATAATAATAATGAATACATAAATAAATAAATAATATATATATATATATAATATATATATATAATACAGATATAATATATATATATATATATATATATATATATATTATATATATTATAATATATATGTATGTATGTATAATGCATGTACCTACACACACATACACCACACACACACACACAAACACACACACACACAACAACCAACACACACGACAAGACACAACCACCACACAAACCACAAACCAGAGGAAATTTATGACTACGCACTACCGGCACCAGCTACAACCACCGCACAACACCGGACAGTGCGACCACACACCCCACAACAGCACGCAACCAAAAGTATGCTTGTACCACAGACATTATGCGGATTGACACAACACCTAAACTTGCACACTACACACACATACTTAATACATATAATATATATATATTACTAACTAACTCTACCCAACATATAATATATATACCTACTAACACACTGTGCACATGCACATGTTATATGATTAGGTAGTTAGATTAGTGATGTTATAACATATAATATATAATCATATAATATATATATTATATAGAATACCACTTACACACAATTGTGTGTGTGTGTGTGTGTGTGTAAACACACATATAATAAATACTGACACCATAATATAACAAATAAACAATAATCAACAATAATATACGTATTATATATGTAAAAGTCAATAATATATACTAATATCAATATATCATTAATATATTAGTATATATTATTATATTATATATTGTTAAGTACATATATTATTTAATAATTATATATATTATATATTAAATATTATATTAATCAATAATCAATATGAATATATGTATATAAAAATATTATGTGGTGTGTTAGTGTGATAGTGTTAGTGTTGTGTGTGTGGTTAATATATATATTATCATAATTATATATATAATATTATAATACAATGAATATATGTATAATATATAAATATAATGTGTGTGATGTGATTGTGTGTGTAGATGTTAGTGTGTGGTATGTGTGTTAATATTTATATATAATAAAAATATACTAATATCTTCATATGTATATAAATACCTATATAATAATTGCATATATAATACATATGTATATGTTAATTTATATTATTAATTATAATATATATACTATATATGTATATATATTTATCATACAAAAAAATATCATAATACATCCACTCAACATCAGTCGATATATATATATATAATATACGTATATAAATGTATACATATTAATATATATATATATATTTATTATATATATATGTCTTAATATATACATATATAACATATATATACTAGTATATTATTAATATTATATATATATATATTATATACACACATATATATATAGTATATAGCCAGTTACTATTATATATATCAAACACATAATATAGGTATTATCTATATATATACACATACGTTAGTGTGTTGATGTGTGTGGTGTGTTGGTGTAATACACACTATATATACATAACACATATAAACTAACACTCACTCACATACCTCAAACACACACCTACACACCCATATATATACACTCACTCATACATATAAAACAATACTCACAATACACACATACATATTAATATACAAACACACACACACACACATCAACATACTAACACACACACCTTCTACCAATATACTATAATTCTAACACATCCATACTGTGTGTGTAGTAGTGTGTTGTGTAGGTGTAGTAAAACACATTATATCACATATAATATAATACATCACATTATTATTGTTATGCATCTTAGCAATATATATCTAACACATTATACAACTACAAATCACTCATATCACTAACACTATACAACAGCATACAACACACAAACATCACAACACACACTACACACATAATTAACTACTCAACACATTACAACACACACACCACCATCAACAACACATTGAATATATTGTTACACATCAGTCGTGACAGATTAGTAGTGTTGATAATAATATTTATTTATATATATAATTATTATTAATTAAATATATTATATATATTAATTATATATATATTATTCTCTTATAGTATCTTAATATTATATGTATTATTGATATGTTAATACATATTCATGTAAGTACATGTATAAATAGTTATTTTAATTTAATGTTTATATAACATATAATACACGCATATAAACAATCTATATATATATATATATATATCCACACTACACACCATATATATAACATCCAATAACTCACACAACACACACCTGAATATATGTATTAAATACATGTGCGTCACGATGATGTATACTGGTGAATGTATCCTCATACCACTATATAATATCAACCCCTAATAAATACTACATAATCTATATCCCATTAATATATTACTTTATAATATGCTTATCTTCATGGTTATCATATACCTTATTTATGTATACATTTATATCTATTCATGTACTATGTTTCTATATACTACTCCTGTTAACCACACATCACACACAGCGCACATAACACACACACACACACACACACACACACACAGCACATCACACACAAACACACACACACACACACGCACGCACATACAACCACACACACACACACACAGCATACACACAACTATATATATACATACCATTATATATATATATTATATATATATATATTATATATATATATATATTATATATTATTAATATATATTATATACACTGTAACAACATCAACACACACACATATTTATATATATATATATATATTATATATATATATATATATATTTAAATATGAATATATATAATATACATATATATATATATATATATATATACTATATATTAATAATTATCCTTACTCTTCTTTTTATAACTAAATGAATAAGATTCGCCCTTCGATCCGAAAGCAGTGGAAAGTGACACAGCGATGGTCGAAAAAAAGAAGAAAGATAGAAAGAAAAAATGGGTTAAGCTACATAAAACTAAAACAACCAATGTATAAATATATCAATCTATCACTCTCTCTTTTATATATATATATATAAATATATTATATATATATATATATATATATATATATATATTATATATATATATATATATTATATTATAATAATATATGAATAGACCGCCCTTCGATCGAAAAGCAATGGAAAGTGACACAGCGATGCTAGTAAAAAAAAAGAGGGGGGGGGGATGCTACATACAACAAAAAGTACTCGGAGAAAAGTACACTGCATATTATGTCTAGTACTACACAATGACGCGTTATAATAATAATAATAGTGTAACAATACAACTGTACAACTAAAAACATTAGATCTCTCTCTCTCTCTCTCTCTCTCTCTCTCTCTCTCTCTCTCTCTCTCTCTCTCTCTCTCTCTCTCTCTCTCTACACGTCTCTCCTTTCGTCTCCCCCTCCATCTCTCTTCTCTCTCCTTTCGCCCCCCCCCCTCTCTCTCTCTCTCTCTCTCTCTCTCTCTCTCTCTCTCTCTTCTCTCTTCTCCTCTTCTCTCTCTCTCTCT